CATTTAGGGTCCAGTCAATATGAGGTAGATTGAAATCGCCAAGAAAGATAAAAGGGTATGGGCAGGATGCAGCCCATGTTAGTAATGTATTTAGCTTGTTTACATGTTCGATGTCATAATCAGGTGCTCTGTAACATAGTAAGAATCGAATTGTGATATTTAAGGATAGTTCACAGATGATGTTCTCAGGAAGAGCAAGCTCCTGGGTAACTTGGATATTTTTTAGATGTAAGGACTTTTTATAGAAGATAGCAACACCACCTCCTCTACGAATTTCACGATCTGATCGGTAAACATAATAGTCTCTTACTGTGGTAATGGAGTCAGGGAGAGATGCATTGAGAGATGCAAATTAGCAGTAACACTTTTACCTTCTTTCTCTATTATACAGTTATCTCCCCTAAAGGTTACTACATAACCAATATTAACTAAAGCCTTTACTGATAACAAATTAAATTTCAGTTTAGGTACATATAACTGTTAAATGTTTGTTTATACAAGAACAATATGCAGTACCTTTACCTGATGCTTTCATCTTCCATCCATTTGCCAATGATACATGTTGTTTACTCGTGGACATCTTTACAAACCTCTTTCTATTTTTAGTAATGCATTGCGATGCTCCACTATCAACAACCCACAAATCATGGTTTACAGTTGAATTGCTAGACATAGCTAAACTAACATTGTTTTTGGCCTTCTGGTGTTTACTAGTATTCTGTCTTTTTCCCTTACAGAATCTAGCTATATGTCCTCTAGCCCCACAAGAAAAACATTTCCTAACAGTATAGGCAGTTGAACACAAATCCTCTTCTTGTGGTTGTTCCTTCCTCATTTGGTCCCTATCCAGCCATCTTCTTGCTTCTTCTAACAACCTTCTGGTTAGGTCAGTCAATGTCAGTTTATCTCTGGTCAGGACTTCCAGTGAAGATACGTAATCATCATAACTTTCATCCAATGAGGAAAAAATGATGTAAACTTGATGCTCTGAAAATATCAGTTCCTTTTCATTTAGCTCTTGAAAAGTTCTTTTCATGAAGTTCAAATGAGCTAACATATCTCCACCTTTCAGAAGACGTACTCTAAACAGTTTACGTGTAAGATGTATGTGTGCACCTACACTGTCACGAACATAAATCATCTTCAAATTCTCCCAACACCTAGCAGCAGACTCTTCTCCACGAATACGGACTAGCTGCTGGTCACTCAGTGTTAGTCCTATTATACAAAGAGCTCGTTCGTTGTTCTGTTTAAAGTCAGCAAGCTTCTTGGCATCGTCCTCATTCTCTGTATCCCAAGCATTTACATCTGGTGGGTCTTGAACTACAGTCCATAACCCTTCTCTACGCAGAAGTAGACTGCACTTCATAGACCAGGAAACATAGTTTGTTCCATCCAACTGGGTTATCAGTGATAGACTTGTCGACGTGTCTTGTGCCATCTTTACCAGGATAGTAACCCACAATTAAACAGTAAACAGCTGTCTGTATACAGTACTGTGCATTCACACGAACTCTCAGTTATCTGAGCCTGGTATGGCCTGGACCCATAACCAGTGTTGAGGTAATTCCCCGTTAGGAGAATGAGCACATACAGGGAGACGTAGTGAGAATAGTGAAGAATAATACACTCACAGCACACAGATACACTGTACAGTAAATGTAAGTTTTTACTTCCAATAAACATTTAAGCACAGTCCAAGATAAGCAGTCCAAGTCATTCACAGGTAAAGCAGTCAGTGTTCAGTTCAGGGACAATCCAAATATCAAAGTCCAGTATCAAAAAACAGTTCAGTAACAGACTTACATCAACGATCAGTAACAGTCATTAGGAGGAACGGCAACTCTCTCCAACAGAAGTAACAGAGACTCACTGAGACTAAACAAGCCAGGTTTCTAGCTCCATCTTATGGCCATTTGCGGAACCACACCCAATTAGTTTTAGTATTCTCTTAAAAACATAGTATTAAAATGTCTATCCTAGTTTATATATTTCCAACCCAAATAACTGTTAGGTGACTTACATTCCTAACAATCCTCTTTTATGGAAGAGCATCTTCCTGTTAACTAAATTCCTAGATACTTAAGTTTTTTGACATTTTGTAGTCCCAATTTCCTTTCCAATTGTTTTTTTTTTTACTTTCTATCAAGTTTTTGGTTATTACTTTTGTTTTATCTTTATTAATTTTTAGTCCTGCTACTGCCCTATATTCTTCTAATTCTTGGATTAGATAGGTCCCTGACTCCATTGGATCTTCCACAAAAAACACTAAATCGTCCGCAAACGCCTGTACTTTATATTCTTATTTTTTGCTGTTCAGTCCAGTTATCTCCTTTCTTTGTCTAATCTGATTTAAAAGCACTTCGATGCTAAGATAAAAAGCAGAGGTGACATTGGACATCCCTGCCTAACACCTTTCATAATCTTAAAGTTTTCAGTAATCTCCCCATTTATAATTACCCTAGCTTTTTGGTTCGAATAAATTGTGCCAATCATTTTCTTGAATTTAGATCCAAATCCTATATTTTCGACCTGTTGAATCAAGAACTGCCAGCTGAGATTGTCGAAGGCCTTTTAAGTATCCAAGAAAATCAATGCTGCCTGCTTTCCTGGGTGGGCCTCATAGTATTCTATTACGTTTAATACTATCCTTATATTGTTCCTTATCTGTCTAGAAGGTAGAAAACCGTTCTGGTCGATATGAATAAGTTCATTTAATATAATTTTTAGTCTCTCCGACATTATTGTTGCCCCATAGATTCTTTATGGGGTTCAGGTCAGGCGAGTTTGCTGGCCAATCAAGCACAGTAATCCCACGGTCATTGAACCAGGTTTTGGTGCTTTTGGCAGTGTGGGCAGGTGCCAAGTCCTGCTGGAAAATGAAGTCAGCATCCCCATAAAGCTCGTCTGCGGAAGGAAGCATGAAGTGCTCCAAAATCTCCTGGTAGATGGCTGCGTTGACCCTGGACTTAATGAAGCACAGTGGACCAACACCAGCAGATGACATGGCTCCCCAAATCAACACAGACTCTGGAAACTTCACATTGGACTTCAAGCATCTTGCAGTGTGTGCCTCTCCGTTCTTCCTCCAGACTCTGGGTCCTTGGTTTCCAAATGAGATGCAAAAGTTGCTCTCATCAGAAAAGAGGACTTTGGACCACTGAGCAACAGACCAGTTCTGTTTGTCTTTAGCCCAGGTAAGATGCTTCTGATGTTGTTGTTCTTCAGGAGCGGCTTGACAAGAGGAATACGACATTTGAAGCCCATGTCCATGATCCGTCTTGTGTGTGGTGGCTCTTGATGCACTGACTCCAGCCTCAGTCCACTCCTTGTGAAAGTCCCCAACACTTTTGAATGGCCTTTTCCTGACAATCCTCTTCAGGCTGCAGTCATCCCTGCTGCTTGTGCACCTTTTTCTTCCACACTTTTCCCTTCCACATAACTTTCTATTAATGTGCTTCAGTACAGCACTTTGGGAACATCCAACTTCTTTTGCAATTACCTTTTGAGGCTTTCCCTCCTTATGGAGGGTGTCAGTGATGGTTTTTTGCACAACTGTCAGGTCAGCAATCTTTCCCATGATTGTAATTCCTACTGAACCAGACTGAGAGACCATTTAAAGGCTCAGGAACCCTTTGCAGGTGTTTTGACTTAATTAGCTGATTAGAGTGGGACACTTTGAGCCTAGAATATTGAACCTTTTCACAATATTCTAATGTTCTGAGATTGTGGATTTGGGGTTTTCATGAGCCGTAAGCCATAATCATCTTAATTATGACACATCATGGCTTGAACTATCTTGCTTTGCATGTAATGAGTCTATCTCATATATTAGGTTCACCTAATATATGTTGCGTTAATGAAATAAATGAACTTTTGCATGATATTCTAATTTTTTGAGTTTCACCTGTATATTCAGCACCAGCCCATAAAACATAAAATTGGACTTCGAAGCAGCAGCGAGATAGAGAAGCACTGGTGCTTCTGAATGCTGGTGCTGGAGAGAGCGCCTGAGAATGCCCCACAGGGAGGCAGGACAACAAACAAACACATTCATGAGCACAGACTCATCACCCAAAGGCCACTTTGCCAGAGAGAAGCTCTAGTGCTGGGAAGGAAAGAGAAGTTGGACTCCAACACAGCAGGGAAGAATCCGGTTAGGACAGATCCCTCTGCAAAAAAAAATAAAAAAAAAATCTATTGATATGGTTGCCAAGAGTAGAGCCTGGCTTAATGGCATCACAACCACGACGGATCTCTGCAGGTAGTTTCTGCTCCAGGTGCAAACCAAACCAAGGGAGGGGTGACCCTTCTAGGCTAGGCAATATGATGGATAGGCAGGCTTTACAGCGGGAGGGGGGGAATGCATTGCCCTGCTGGGCTCCCCCTCCACCCAGGCTTACAGAGACGGCCACTATTTCAAATGGGAAACGATTTCACTGGCTCAAGAATTCAGGAGCCGCGCGGGAAACGGTCAGGGCGCCCCTGCACGCTCTTTATGGCCAGTGCCCCCCCTCCAACATTTTCAGAGAAGGGGCAGAACAAGGGAGGGGGGCTGCAGCACGGAGCCTTCAGGTGAATCTCAGCCGCCTTCCATACTTCACCCGTCCTCCCCCCCCCCCGGCAGCCATCTTGTGAACAGGCAGCCCTTCTCGCCGCAGCGCCCGCAGCCCCCCGAGGGCACCGAGCAGCCTCACTGAGCAGGTTCGACGGCCCCCGCGGGTTCCTGCAGGAGCGGCGGCCACGCTGCGAGCCGCCGCTCCCGCGACCTCCCAAGAACCCCGAAGGGCTGCTCCGCCTCAGGGCAACCCCCGCCGGCTCCTGCCGCTTCTTCCTCGGGGGGTCCGGGCCCTCCGCTGCCCGGGTGTGGGGGGGCGCCCCGCCAGGAGCGAAAGAGCCATGACTGCCACTCGGCGCAGCCAATGAGGCTCCGCGCGGGCGGCGGGCGAGCCACATTCCTCTCCAGGGGAGGCGGGGAAGGAAGGTGCCGAAAGCGGCGGCGGCGGCGGCTCAGGTGGGGCTGAGCGCGGCGGAGCTCCTCCTCCGCTTCCCGGTGGAGCGCTCGCTGCTCCAGCTCCGCACCGGGCGCACCTCCGAGGGAGGGCAGGCAAGCAGCCGGCCGACCCGCGTCCGCCAGGTGAGCTGCGGCGCCGCCGCCGGGGGAGGAGCGGGGCGGGGCTCGGGGGGGGGGGGGTTGGCGCAGTTCCGCCGCCCCCGGGATCGCGGGCGGCGGGCGGCCCCCCATCCCTGGCAGGGCGGCTGCGGAGCCGCTTCCTCGGGGGCTGCGGCGGATTCCTGCCCGAGGGCTTCGAGGGCTGCGGAGGAGGGTGCCGGGCAGAGGCGCGCCTCCAGCCTGCCTTGGCCGGTCTGGAACCCAGCGGTGGGACGCGAAGCGGGCGCTGCCCTCCGGCCCCAGGGAAGGCGGGGATGCGAAGCGGCCCTTTCCCCTCCTCGCTCCCGCAACCCGCGTTGGGCTCCATCCCCGCGCCCTTTGCAACAAGTCCCCGCCTGGTCTGGGGAAATCTCGGTCTGGCGAGGGGGTGGGGGGAGGCAAAGGAGCTGCGATGTCACCTCGTCTCAGCCAGGAGAGAAATGACAAATCTGTTCCCTGAAGTCGGGGGGGGGGGAGGCATTTTCCTATTTTCCAGCTGATTTTTAACATGGCCTAGAGAAGGAAGCGCTGACCTTTGACTGGACCCTGCTTCTCTGCATCCCAAAGGTCCCCCCCAGCCTCCGCTAAGGGTTTCCCTTACCGATCAGGGTCTTGGCAACCATTGGTGGGCAGAGGGATTGATCAACAGGCTCTTGCTGGGTCCAGAAAACTTGCAGCTGGGCAGATGCGGAGGGTGAGCAACCATTGTTGTGCCTCACACAGACACACACCCCTTGCAGCAGGAGGCTCCTGGGGGAGGCAAGCCAGGGGGTCTTGGGCCTGAAACCGCCACGCCGGCATTTCCAAGGACAGCAGGCTGACACCCGCCAGGCGTCCTCTGGAGATCCAGCTTGTGCCCTGCCAAAAGAGGGGAGCAGGACAGGCTCCCCCTTGGCTGATGGAGCTGACCTCCACAGGGAGAAATGCCTGCCCTGGTATTACCAGTCTGGATGAAAACCTCTGGGTTCTCTTCATTGACTGGAGCCAGGGACGCCCTGATTGGCTGCCCACGAGCGGTTTGGCCATAATTGCCCCCTCCCCCCATCTGTCTGTGGGTGAGGAACCGGAAGAGCCAGTCAGACCCTTCCCTGGGAGGGTGGCAGTTGTGGGTCTGCTCTCCTCCGGCCTGCCTTTAAGAGCCAGTCATCCATCTTACCCAGCAGGTTGGTGACCTGAGAGCGAACAGGAACGTGGCCCAACGCAGTCTCTAACGGCCATCAACTCGCTGGGGCAACAAGCATCACAAGCTCTCTTGCCTTCACTGCGTCTCTTGGTGTCTCTGGGCACCAGGCTGGGAAAGGCCAGCTGGGAAGACAGAGCAAGGAAAAAGCCTGCAGAAGTGCACCCGAGGGCAAATCGGAGGGGAGGGGGGCAAGGATCTTGGTTGTCCAGAAAATGCCAATCCGCCACCAGAATAGGGAGTCCTTTTGTCATGTTCAGAACATCTTGTAAGCCGGATGAGATCAGTGTTTTCTCCTGTGGCAAAGCGAAGGGGGCGGAGGAGTGTTTTGTGGCTCCTGCTGTGAATGCACAGCAGTCCTAAGGGTGTCGTAGCTCAGCTCTTTCCTGCTAAAAGTCACCCCGCTCCCGGCAAGAGCCCCCCAAGAGGACGGGCATGGCCCGTGTCCAGAGCTCCACAACGCTGGACTTGGAACGGCAGGCAGAAGCAACAGGACGGGCAGGTTGAGAGCTGAGCCAATTTCCCAGGAAGGCGTCCCCTTCCTGGTTGGGTCCGAGGAGAGGCTGGACAGCTACCTGTCATGGAGGCCGGCCTGTGGACTCAGCCAAAGGGTGGGCTCGCTGACCTCAAAGGGCCCTTCTCAGTTCGATTCTGAGATCACAGATCCAACACGAAAACTCAGAGGGAGGCTAAGAAAAAGCAGCTTTTCCCACTAACTGGCTATCAAAAGTTATCAGGTGCACCTCGTGGTGCCCAGTTGCTCCTGGTCTTGGGCCACCACAGACTGACGTGGCTCTCCTTCGTGCCAGTCTTTGGACATGCTGGATGAGGATGGTGTCTGTTGGCACCCAGCGGATTGGAAGGGGCTGACCTGGTCGTGTGGAGAGCTGGCCCTGAGAGACCCTGGCTCCCCTTCCGTGGGCATCTCCTTGGGTTAGGGCCCCTCTCGTTCAAGGCAAGATGGTCAGCCCCAGGCAGGACATTCCTGTGCTTGCTGGAGATTCTGTCTCTGGAGGAACTGGGTGTCATGGCTGTTTTTTTTTTTTTTTTTTAGGCATCTTGCCAATTTTTGCTTCGCTATTTGTCCAGCCTGATTATGGAGAAAACAGCAAATATGCAGAGAAGGCCAAGGAAGGGAATCTGGCTGAAGTGGGGCTCAGCGTTGTGGGACTTTGGGTGCCTGGAAGGCTCCTCCTCCCTCTTCCCAGGCCTGTCACAGAAGTCGCTGGGGTTTCTTGGCTTTTGTTTTTAAAAGCCCCTTGCCCCACTGTACCTCAGAGAGACCCGGGGTTGAAAGGCAAGACCAACCCCCCTCCTTAGCAGACCATTCTCCCATTCCCTTATGCGGAATTGTGCAAATGGTGCCTCCTTTACAGCCCGTTACGGTTCCTGAAGCAAAAAAACAAGTCAGTCGGCCCAGCTGCCTGCCTGGACCAACACAGAGAGTGCAGGGGTCAAACTAGAAAGGGGGGGGACGACTGGCAGAGCTGCACTCCAGTGGTGGCCATGCCCACAGGGGCTGGCAGGCGCACTTGTGCCAAGAAGCACAATGGGCAGAGTGGAGCCTGGCAGCCATTCTAGGCAACAGAGGCGGCAGGTTCAGTGGCAGAGTGGTCTCAGATGCTGATGGAAGGCAGCCCAGGGATGTGGGTGTGATTGTACCATCAGATCCCTTTGCTGCTGGCAGAATGGGGAGTGTGAGGGCAGGATTGGCACCTGAAGCATCGGCCCAGGCAGACGGGAAGGGGAGCCTGCTTGACATGGTGGCTGGGACAGCTGGCTGGTCTGTGCTGCATATTGGTTTGCCTTCCTTGGTGGGGACCAGAAGCTGTGGGAGTTCCTTGGAAAACGGCCACTCCCCCCCCCCCCCCCCCCCCATACATATAGATGCCCTCGTAACAGATGGACGTTTCTCGTTCCAGCCGTTTGGCAGAAAGCAGCATTGCCACTCAAGCCAGCCTCCAGTTCTGAAAGAGGCTCCCCCTGCCTTCTGCTCAGGGAGGGCTGCAGGACGTAGGCCTCCTTCCCTTTTGCTTTCTTCGGTAGCGCAGTTGAGTACCTGCAGATTCAACTAGCCAGCCGTTTATCTTGCCTGAGAATTCAGAGGGGGAAGCTCCTCCAGTCCTACGAGACCTTCCGGAAGGGTTTTGGGGGGTTGCCTGCTCCGCTTCAGAGGTTGAGCACAATCTTAGGGGGTTTGCAAGTGAAGCTTAAGCTCCTGTGAGTCCTCCATGTGTTGCTTTGTGTTACCAGTCAGTTCAGCGCTTCCTATCTTTGACCTGAAGCCTGCTGGGTACAGACATAACAGCAGTGAGAGGATAGCATGGTGGCTGTCAGGGCTCAACTTGCTGTTCGGTGGGGGGGTCCCTGTGAAAGCAGACCTGACAGGGGGTGGTGTGGCTTCCGCTTAACTGCACCCAGAGAAGGAGGGCCATCCCTTCCCCCCAAAATGGGCTGCTCCATCTTTGGTTCCGCTGAAAACGAGCCTTGCCAGTTAGGATCAGGAGGACTCTCAAAATGGCAGCAACCTCTCGCCTGGAGCTGCCGTGACCGTCTGAAGGGGGCCTCTGTGGCAGCTTTTGCTTGGCCACAAACAGATAGCAGGGACAAGTAAGGAGAGGGGTGCATGGTTGAGAGGGCCGCCAGGCAGTTGCTTCAGGGAAGAAGCTGCTGCTGCTGCTGGGGTCAATCTCACGACAATGCAGCAGTTGCCATGACAGCCACCGCATCCATTGCCATGCGCAACAGAGGAAGGGGACAGTGCAATGGCTGCTCTTCCTTTTCTGCCCTCTGAAAATCATTCACCAGATACCCATCCTAGGAGGGAGGGAGGAGGAGGAGGAGGAGGCTGAGGGTGCAAAGCAGCCGCCCTGTAGCTGAGCCTCAGAGAGCAACTCCTGTTTCCATCTCCTGCTTCGACTTTGCCAGGGCAGACAGTGGTTCCCACCTCTGAGGTGCTGGTTAAGGAGCGGGGGAGGGGGGGGTCTAAATCACCCCCCACACTGACTTGGCCGCTCGGTGCCTCTTGATCCAGCTCTCTTTGCAGGGTGGCTACTTGGGAAGAACTGGAGAAGAGAGCGCGGTATCCAGCAACTGGGTGGGGTAAATGAAGTTGTGTTTGTGTGTGTGTGTGTGTGTGTGTGTCCCCATAAAGAGGTTCTGGGCGAAATGCAGTCGAAGCGAAGAGGTGCATGGAATGCATAAAGGCAGCCAAGACTTTTATGGAGACTGGCCTGTTCAAGGTGTGAGTTCAGGTCTGGAAAAAGTGAATGGTTGTAACTTAATCTGTAAATCTACCTATATTGTCCAGAATGTCAGATAGCAAATCACAAAATTTGTCCTCACAAGCTGGGGTGGTTGCCTTATAAAGTCGCAATTGTCATTAGGCCTGGTGAGGAAACATCCAAGTTCAGGGGCAGAATATCTTCAGCCCTCACTTGCTGCAGAACCACCGCAAGGAGAAAAGTGTTTGCGTCATATTTTGCTGCTGGACTGCCTGGCCGGTTGCCAAGAAATGGCGTTTCTTGGGTCAGTCTTTGGTCTGCAGACAAAATTCCTCTCTGCGCCCATCTGCATCGCTTGCCGGTGGCTGGCTTGTGGAATATGCATCAAACGAGTCATTAGGGTCCGTGGTGGGTGGCGAAGAAGGAATTGTAATTCTCAGTGCCAGTTGGCACAACTGCTCCCGGGCACTTTCAGGAACAAAGACCTGACAAGAAAAACAAGATCTCCCCTCCTGGCCTTCAACTTCCCTGAAGGTCAGAAAAAAATTGTGCCTTTCAAGAGAGAAGGGTAAACACACGAAGTGTTGCGTTGTCAGTTCCTTGGCCCAGAAAGGAGAGAGTGGAAGAGAAACTGAACCGAGAAGTGGAAATAGCAGTTTAGCAGCAGCTTTCCGTTTGCAGAGGGGGCAGGGCCCTTCCCAGAACAGGTGGCAGAGCCCCCCCTCGATCCCCCAAGTGTTCGGCTTGCAGAGGGCTTGGGGACTGCCAGGCCTTTGTCTTGCCTGGAGACGCCCCCATTTCCTCCACAGGCTGCTTTACTGGGTAGGGGTGCGAGGAGAAAGCCTGCACCCCCCCGGACTTTGCTGTTGGCAGCATTCCAGGCGGGCACCCTGGCCAGTGGGGAAAAGGCTGCGGGGTCCCCAAAATGTTGGACTTACTTGCATTTCAGGCCTCTTGCCTCCAGCGACAGCTTCAGGGAGATGGAAGGTCAGGGCCAAACGTGCCGCCGTCATCCTCCATGCTCTCAGGGTGGTGCTGGAGCACCGAAGCAGCCCTGCAGGCTGTGTGGCTCTTGCTGTCTTCAGGGCCATTGGTTCTCCTTGGACCGCTTCAGCCGAGGAACTGCGCTCTGTTCGGAGGCAGCAGAGACGAGCCAGTTCTTGGACCATGCATCCAGAATTTGCACTTGCTGGGAGAGTTTGCATTGGGTGATTCAATGCACTGGGAATTTTCTCAGAAGTCGTGTTGTAGCCCATGGGCTCCCTTGGAGAGCAACTCCTGTTCTGCCTCTGCATTACTGCCAGCTGGAAAGGCCTGCCCAGCCCTGCCTAAGATGGGGTCCAGAAGGAGCTCCCATCCTCCAAGCAGGCAGGCAGCAAACTTTCCTCTGTTCATCAGTGAAGACTTGCCTCTTGCCCACCTGGAACCCTCCTCAAATAGGGATTGGCTGCAACATCCGGGGTTGCCAGACTGGCCAAGGGAGGAAGACCCTTGGCAGCATTCCTGACTCCCCAAACTGGGGGGGAGGGACCCCAGAAGGAGGCTTGCCTAGGCTGACCGCTACCTACTTCACTCCCCAGAACTTTAGCTGATGTGATCCTGGCCCAGCTTTCGCGGCTTCAGAGGCTCCACCTTTTCCCCAAAGGCCTGTTTTTGCCCCCAAAAGGCCTGCTTGTCTAGGGAGAGGAAGAAGGTTGTTTGGGGTTCCCAGAAGTGAAAAATCGGTGGGGTGGGAGAGCCCTCCAGAGGGTGGCATCCTCAAAGCCTTTTGTCCACCATACTTGCCTAGAAAATTCTGCCACTGGGATGTGCGAGACTGTCTGGTGGTGCGTAAACTCTTCCCTGTGCCATTTCCCACAACAACCATGTGCCTCACAAGTCAAAACACAAGAAGGCTCCACCTTGCCTGTCTTAACTAGAGGGGCCAAAGATGAGCCAGCATTTGGAAGCAAGGCTAGTGGAGCCCTTCCTATCGGAAGGGAAGAAAATTCCTGGCTTGTGTGCAGTTCAGTGCACGTGAACATTACATGCATAACATTACATGCATTCCAGAGGATACTTCCTCTGGTCCCCCATCTTTACACTCGTGTGTTTCCTGCCCATCTCAGCTAACCGACTAGCAAAGGGTTCGTCTGTTTCCCTCTCTCCTGGGTTGGGTGGCCTATAGCATCCCCCTTTAGCAAAATCATTTCTTTTCCCTCTGATAATTACCCAAATACTTTCACCCTAGTATCGTGTACTGAGCTGTGGTAGCACAGTGGTTAGAATGCAGTATTGCAGGCTCCTTCTGTTGACTGCCAGCTGCCTGCAATTTGGCAGTTTGACTCTCATCTAGCTCAAGGTTGACTTAGCTTTCCATCCTTCTGTGGTCATTCAAATGAGGGCCCAGATTGTTGGGGGCAAAATGCTGGCTCTGTAAACCACTTAGAGAGGGCTGTAAAGCACTGGAAGCTGCATATCAGTCTTAAGTGCTATTGCTACTGTGGAGGTGTAGTAATTCCTCACATACAATGTGACATCCGGCCCTCGTGTTGGGTCTTTTTCTTTTAAACAGTTTATACAGTTTAAACAGTTTATACAGTTTAAACAGTTTGATCAGTTTGATCTGCCACTTGCTTCAGAGTTTGTCTCCCGGTTGATGTCATGGTAGTTAAAGTGTCCCCCCCACCCCCATTATTACTGTAGTATGTTTCCTGCACACATTAGTTAAATGTAGTCCAATGGAACTACATCTACATGGAGGGAAGTAAGCAGTGGGGAACCACAAGGTCTGTTTTAGACTCAGGACTCTTCAGTATCTTCATAAATGACCTAGATGAGGGAATAGAAGGGGAACTCATCAGATTTGCAGGCTACACTAAGCTGGCAGGAATACCAACACCCCAGAAGATACACTCAAGATCCAAATGAATCTTGACAGATTTGCACACTGGGCCCTATCTAGGAAAATGAAATTCAGCATAGATAAAAATAAGATTTTACACTTAGGCAATAAAAACCAAATGTACAGGTACAAATTAGGTGAAACTTGGCTCAATAGCAGTAACTGTAAGAGGGATCTTGAAGCTCTAGTGGACAGTCTCTTAAATAGAAAGTGTGCTGCAGCTTCCAAAAAGCCAGTGCAATCCTAGGCTTTGGGATAGAATCAAGCTCACATGAAGCATTAGTACCTCTTTATAATGTCTTGGTAAGACCACACCTGGAGTACTGCATGCAGTTTTGGTCACCACGATACCAAAAAGATGTTGAGACTCTGGAAAGAGTGCAGACTAGGGGGCTGGAGGCTAGAACATGAAGAATGGTTGCAAAAATTGGGTATGTCTAGTCTCGTGAAAAGGACTAGGGGTAATAGGAGTGTTCCAATATTTGAGGGGCTGCCACAAAGAAGAAGGGGGTCAACTTATTTTCCGAAGCATCAGGGGGCAGGACAAGAACCAATGGATGGAGAGAAGCAGATCAAAGGGAGAAGCAACTTGGAATTAAGGAGAAACTTCCTAATGGTGATGACAATTAACCAGTGGGGCAGCTGGCCTTCAGAGGTTGTGAATGCTTCATCAGTGGAGGCTTTTAAGAAGAGACTGGATAGCCACCTGTCTGAAAGTGCATGGCATCTCCTGCTTGTGCAGGTGTTGGGCTTAGGGGGCTGGACCAGAAGACCCCCTAAGCTTTCTTCTTCTATTATTCTGTAAATAAGTAGCAAACTATTCATTTATTTCTTCTAATTACTAGGATGGCCTGTAGTACTATACACCTAGGGCAACATCATTCCTTTTTCCTTTTATATTAATCCAAATTCATTCAAGAAGGTTTTTGTCCTTGGTATTGTGCATTTCTGTAGAAGTGTAGTGATTTCTTACATATAATGCAACTTCTCCTATTTTGTTAGGTCTGTTTCTTTTGAACAGTTTATATCCTTCTAAGTACATTCCAGTCAACTTTCATCCCACCAAGTTGCCAAGTAATGGCAACCATATTGTATTTGCTGCCCAAATATGAAGATCATTGTTGTTTTTCTCTTTGTCGTCGTGTCATTATTCATCCTAGAATAATGTGGACTGCTTGCTTGGTGTAGGCGGTCCTTCTTGCATGTCTTTCTCCTGGTGCTAGTGAATCACCGTTTGGCTCCCTTTTATTATGAAATACGCAGCACCATCCGAGGGACAGTCCTTCGGAAAAATGAAGGGGGACATTCTACCCCAGGCAGCTTTTATGGCCCAGAGTGGGCACCTGGCAGACGGAGGGAGGCAGAGGCACCTGAAGGCTGTGCCAGGGCAGCGGCATGGCTAGCACATTTATCTTTCCAGAAATCACAATGGGGAAGCACAACAGCAAGTTGGCTCCGGAGATGTTGGATGACCTGGTGAGAAGCACTGAATTTAATGAGCAGGAGCTGAAACAATGGTACAAGGGCTTTCTGAAAGACTGCCCCACAGGCATCCTCAACTTGGAGGAATTCCAGCAACTTTACATCAAGGTATGGTATGGAGGGGGGAGGGTAGTTGAGTTGGGGCAGCTTGCTTCAGCCAGGCACTCTCTTGAACATCAAAGCTCTTGGATTAGCCATAAAGGCCGGGAAGCTTGGCTGTCCCATTTTAAGAAGTGTGTTGGTTGTATCTTATGATTAACAATTTATCACTTTGTTGCTTGTGTGTATACTGAGTGTTTATGCACTGGAGACAAATTTCTTGTGTGTCCAAGCACACTTGGCCAACAAGGAATGTTCTGTTCTGTTCTACTCTCTATGTACTATAGATCTGATGAAGCTCATTTGGATAACGTTGGCTTATCAGTGAAGCCTCCCATCTGGAGCTCAAGGGGGACATTATAGCCATAGCACTTAGACTTACGTACCGCTTCACAGTGCTTTTTACAGCCCCCTCTAAGCGGTTTACAGAGTCTGCCTCTTGCCCCAACAATCTGGGTCCTCATTTTACCAACCTTGAAAGGATGGAAGGCTGAGTCAGCCTTGAGCCGGTCAGAATTGAACTTCAGGCAGTGGGCAGTGAGTTAGCCTTGCAGTTCTGCATTCAAATCACTGCGCCACCATGGCTCTTATGTCCTGTATTATGTCCCATAACACCAGTCCTGGGAGGCAGGAGAGAGTGACTGGCTGAAGGCTGCCCAGCAAGACTCGCTATGCTGTGAATGAATAAATCTGGGGTTCATCGCTCCTAATCCAAGAGACACAGAATACTTGCTTTGCAAGGGGTGGGGTCAGGAGTGGGATTCAATTTTTTAACAACTGGTTCTGCGGGCATGGCTTAGTTGGTGGGCATGGCTTGGTGGTCATGTGACTGGGTGGATGTGGCTTGGTGGTTATGTTATTGGCTGGGCATGGCCAACTCAATATCACTCACATTGAGGCACCATCTCCTCGCCTGGCCTCTCATGACTGTGGGGATGCTGCAACAGTCGTAAGTGTGAAAAATGGTCATAAGTCACTTTTTTCAGTGCCATTGTAACTTTGAATGGTCACTCCACACAAGCAAAGTACCAGCAAAGAAGGGGGAAAAATAACTCCAGAGAAGTTCCTGAGACAGGAAGTCTAGTCCTGCCAAGAATGTAATAAGGGTTAACGGAGAGGCAGTTTCTGTAAGCAACACCAGAATGTTTCCTTCCTGCCTTCCTTACAGGATTAGGCCAGTAATTTCTTCTAACAACCGGTTCTCCGAACTGCTTAGAATGTTAACAACCGGTTCTAGCGAATAGGTGCGAACTGGTAGAATCCCATCCCTGGGTGGGGTGTGGTCTTCAAGCCATTGGTGGTTTTCCAGAGTGAACCCCAGGAAAAGCAACGAAGTAGAAGTGGCGTTTATGGGCAGCTTCTCGAGGGATGGGAGGCTGCTGCTGCTGCTTTCTTGGGGCGCCTCCAGGGCTTTCCCCTGTTGCTGGCAGCAGCCCCTGTGATGGCGCCTCCCCCATTTCTCCTCTTGCAGTTTTTCCCCTACGGTGACGCATCCAAGTTCGCCCAGCATGCTTTCCGCACGTTTGACAAGAACGGAGACGGGACCATTGACTTCCGGGAGTTCATCTGCGCCCTGTCTGTCACTTCCAGGGGCAGCTTTGAGCAGAAGTTGAATTGGGCCTTTGAGATGTATGACTTGGACGGCGACGGGAAGATCACCCGCTTGGAAATGCTGGAGATCATTGAGGTAGCAGAAGTTCCCTTGGGTGGATTTCAGGCTGCTCGGGGTTCATCATTGACCCAGTGCAGGGCTGGCCAAGCTGGAATCCTGTGGCTGAAGTCGCAGCAGATCATCCCTCAAGGGAGGCGCAATTTCCCACAGCTTTATGATGTTTTTCCCACCCAGGAACCCCATAAAATAGGCTTGACCAAACTAAAAATAACAAAAATAAAAATCAGGAAATCCTTGCAATTCCCAATCCCCCCAAAGTCGTCCTTTGTTGTTGTCCCCAAAGTTGTGACGATCCGATAAATGCAATGGAGCCAGGTCTCCCATAGGCCGGTCCCCTGTTGGAGGTCCTGCCTCCAGGTATCCATGGGCCGGTGTGGGGTCTGTGGTTGCTCATGGCAGGCGGGGGAGGGAGGGGCCCCCGGAAGAGTCCTGGCCTCATTTTCCCCATCTGCCTTTCAGGCGATCTACAAGATGGTGGGTACTGTCATTATGATGCGGATGGATCAAGATGGGCTGACTCCCCAGCAGCGAGTCGACAAGATCTTCACCAAGATGGACAAGGATAAAGATGACCAGATCAGCCTGGAAGAATTCAAGGAGGCAGCCAAGAGCGACCCCTCCATTGTCCTCCTGCTGCAGTGTGACATGCAGAAATAGGAGGGTTGCGGGGGGCGCACCGGTCAGCTTGTCCCTTGACCTGCTGTGTGCTGCCTTTCTTCCCTCTTGAGGGCTGCACCCCCTCTGGAGGGAGGGAGGCCTGCTGCCTTGGCCCACAGGAGTCTGCCAGGGCCTTTCCCAGCACTTGCGCCCCCTGCCCTTCTCGGCTCGGCTGATGACCCTCTGGCCAGGTGCCTTAGCCTTTCAGCCAGAAGATGTCCACCTCTGTCCATGGGGTCCGCTCCGGCTGGAGTCTCTGGCCTCTGCTCTCCTCCTTGGACAGGAGCCACTCCCAACCCTCTGGCAGCAAATCTGGGCTGCGCCATGCTGGGCTGCTTGAAGCCGAGACCCAGGTGGCTACCGCTGTTAGGTCCATTTTCCTAAATCACTGGCTCTTAGGGCTAGGAAAAATCTATGTGTCGTCCCCCCCCCCCCCGTGCCCCCCACAACAGCAGATCTTTACAGGGACTCCGCCTGATGGCAGGTCCGAGGCTGTGATTCCCACTCCGTGTCCTGAGGGGCCCCCCTCGCCACCCCTACCCGAGCGAAGAAGGGAGAGGTTTCTTTCCTCTCCTTCCCCCATCACTTCTTCACCACCATTAAGAGCCAATAGCAGGTGCAACCGTTTTTGGCCCGGGGGAGCCTGGGCTTTCTTTTTGGAAATTTTAAAAGAGCAATAACCCCCCCCCCCCCTCGCACCTTTAGATTAGGGGCCTCCAAACTTGGCAACTTTAAAACTTGTGGACTTTAACTCTCAGAATTGAAGAGTTGGCTGTGGCTTTGGCTGGCTGGGGAATTCTGGGAGTTGAAGTCCACAAGTCTTAAAGTTGCCGAGTTTGGAAAGCTCTTTCTGCCCTGGTCAAATCTGGATCTTTCCTCATTCCCACCACCAGCCAGCCAAAAGGGCCCGACTGGGGATGGGGGAGCTGCATTCCCACCTCTCCGAAGGCCTTTGTTTGGGGTGGGCTGGCTGAGGCTCCTGCTCTCCATCTTTGGAAATAGAGGGACAACCCCCCCCCCCCCGCTTCAGTTGACCGTTAAAAGTATATTTCTGTACTTGATGAAAAAGTACCGGTTGTTTTCATTGCTGCTTCTGCCAATAATTCATTGTAATAATTAATGGGCTCTAAAAGAGGGGGGAGGAAGAGGCGCTGGCTTTTCCAAAAAGCCGGGGACGGTGCCGAAAGCCCCTAATTGGTGGAGATTGCAGGAATCCTTAGTCTGGAGGGTCCCCAGAGAGATTATTCTTGGGTGGCCAAGGAAAGGGCACCAGGGGGGACTTTTTCCGTGAGCCTTGCCAGGACCCGGGAATTCTGTGGAGAAATGCTGCTCCGTGTGGGGACAGACGTAAATAAGCTGCTTTTTGTTCCTTCCAACTTGCAACCTGGGAACCAGCTGTGCTCCTAAGGTGAATAGGAGAAGGAGGTGTGTGCTTGCACAGCTGCATGCGTGCACATGTATTTCCCATGGCGGCAGGGAGCCCCTGCTGTAGCTCCCCAGTGGTTCTGGCACTCTGGTGCCCATCAACTTTCCGTCCCTTCTCGCCCCCTTAGCATTTAAGGTTTGCAACTGAGCAGAAGTGCCCCGTGATTGACCGCCGTGAAATTTAGGGCAGAGCGTGAATTGGCTACTCCAGAAGGCCAAGGTGGTGGTAACCCCCCCTGCCCTGAAGTGTCTGGTGAGGATGGCTAAGAGGGAGAAGTGCAGAAGCTCCAAGGGGATGGTGAGAATTTCAGGCCCTCTCAGGAGGGAGGAAGGTCCCCACCTCACGAGGTAGTGGATGGAGCACCAGAGCAGGCAGCTGGGGGTCATTTGCTCCCCGGCAGCTTTTGCAGGGTGGGAGGTCAAAGGCCCGGAATTTGGGGGGGGGGAGGGAACCAGCCAGGTTGAATGAAATGGACTTTGTCCAAGCAGAGTTCCAGTCATTTGCACTTTTTGTGATGGGGGTGAATTTAAAATGGGCGTCTTCAGTTCCTTCTTGGCAGCTCTTGGAGTGGGGCGAAAGAAACGAGGCGGGCTTGGCCTGGAGTCCCAGGAAGGCTTCATGCCGCCACAAGGCAGCCCTCATCCGTGCCAAGGCAATCCCTTCGGCTGCCGAGTCCTGCCCCACCCTGCCCTGAGCATGGCTCTTGGAGATTGTCCCATTGCTTATTGTGGCTGTGAGTATTGTACTTGTTTAGGAACTGTGAGGTACGTAGGGGAGTGTGTGTGTGTGTGTGTGCACACGTGTACATCTATTTTTATTTAAGTGTTCAAAGGTATCCTCATCCTGAGGGAGTTTGCAGTTTGGTCTCTGAATAAAAGGATGATCAAAGGGCCTGGCCTGTCTCTGCTACCTACCAGGGATGGGAGGGGAACCTTGGAGGGCCCCCAGGAGCGGTTTCCCTGCCTTTGCCACTTGCCCAAATGCTTTGCAGGGGGGAAACAGGGGGGAACTGCAGGGAAAGGGGGTTGCGGGTGGGAGCAACACACACCTTTGGAAACTAGAGAGGAGGATGGGGGTGTCGGGAGGCGCCAGGTGTTTCCATGGAGAAAGCACGGAGGACCTGGCCCAGGTCTGGCCCCTGCTGAGGCATCCCGGCTGTTCCCACTCCATGGGCGCAGCTCCTTTGGGCCGAGAGCACATCACACACTGTTCGGATTGGGAGCCCGAGCAAAACCAACGTTTAATCTACTTCAAAGTAATGCATATTACTTCAAAGCAATTGGCATGTTTATCCTTTTCTGCCATATTAAAAGTCGCCATCTGTTGAGCCTCTCTGATATGGGCAGCCAGCAGTGGTCATCAGGGCAGCCAATTTGGGGGGGCTTTAAAGGGGGCAGGACTGGTTTCTGGAGGGTCTGGGCCCCAAAGGCCCCCAGGGGCCTCTTCCCCCACCACCCGCATCCCAGGCAGCGAGTCTCTGGGGCGGCTGCAGAGCAGGCTCGACTCCTGGATGCCAGCAAGGGGGACCAAGGGCCCAGGCCAGCCTTAGCGCCTTCCCAATGTCCTCATCTAGAGGCCATCTTTGACTTACAACCATTCACTTAGTGTCCGTTCAAAACTGCAACAGCAAAAATGACTCAGGACCGTTTTTCACATTTACAACCGTCGCAACATTTCCAGGGTCGCCTGATCGAAATTTGGATCGACCCACCATGATGGCCGCTCGGCAGTTGGCTTATTGATGACAGCTGCGGTGTCCCAGGTCCCCTTTTTGGACCTTCTGACGAGCAAAGTCAACGGGGAAGCCCGGCTCACTTCCCAACCCTGGGACTAAATTAACAACTTTGGTGATTCACTTAACAATGGTGGAAGAAAGGTCGTAAAACGGGGCAAAACTCATTTAACAAATGTTTCAGTTAGCAACAGAAATGTTTGGGTCAATTGCAGTCCTAAGCCAGGAGAACCTTCTGCTCCTGGGGCGCCTGCTGGGCCCAGGGACAGAGGTGGATGGACTGACACCCTGTGGCCTTTTTCTTTCGGTCCTTGCGAGTCCTGCGAGAGGGACGGCAATATGCCTGTCTGCACACACACTTTATTCGCCAGGCCAGGCGTAAATAATCCACACGGTGCCACGGGCTCTACGTAAAGCAAGGGGCTTTCAGGGGGTTTTCAGGGTATAACACAAACCCAAGAAATGGATTCACTTGGAAACCAAATGAAGTCTGGAACCATCATACTGTGGGTCAAAATTCTGAGACAAGGAGGACCACACCTCAAATTCTTGAGGTTCCCAAAAATGATACCTCTCATCAGGTTGAACTAAAGTCGTGACATTTTGGGAATCTGTTTCTTTGACAAGTATTTAAAAGCTGTTAAAGTAATATAGGTGATACAATATTTTGGCTAGGTTTGTGTAGTACATTTGTTGAATTAACACAAATACCTGGAATCCAGTTTTATCAAACTGGTTCGGTCAACTGGTGCTGTGCCCACCAGTGGCTGAAGAGTCCATTGCCGTTGGGACAGCCATAGGCAACAAACTGGTAATGAGGAGGCAGTGGGCCGCTCCTAAACTGGCCCCAACCTGTCCATTCCGGTGGAGCTTTAGACTAGCCACAGGTCTAACTTGGCTGTTTGATGTGGCTGGCTGGTGGAAGAGAGGCTGAAGGTCCGATCTGCCTCAGCCCTGGGCCAAAGCTCCCTCTCCCCTGGGCTTCATGGAACCTCCACGGTTCAGGCGAGACCCCGAAGTGGGGAAGGGCCGCTGTGTGTCAGATGCAAAAGGCAGAGGGCAGTTTGGGACCTAAGAGTGAAAGCAAACATCACTTAGAAAACAATTGCCCATCCATCCCCCTTCACTGCCTGCCAGCACATGTGCAAGAAAAGGGCCTGCCCACTGCATCGCTCCTGCTAGGGGGCAGGAACCTCTTGTGTCTGGGGGTGGCTTGATGCTGCAGCCAGACAAGGCTAGTTTGGGGAATGAGTGAATGAAAATGGCCAGGCTGCCCTTAAGAATCCACATTGTTGCTTTGCCCTCTCAAAGCAGCAATTTCAAACACACACACACACACACACACACACACACACAGCCCATCAACTGAATCAGGCTAGCTTTGGTGCTCCTGAGTGGCACATTGGCAAGGGGGTGCTGTACAGAGACTCACTGGGGCTCTGGAAACCGCTGAGCTGAAAACAAGGTGCAGAGAAGAGCATGGCCTCCACTTTGGCTGGGAGGGAGGTGTTTTGTCAGGTCTGCTTGGAGGGAGGGAGGGGTTTGTTTTCGCAATTAAATACTGTTTCAGCATTTGCCTTTCATGTCTAGGATGGTGCAAACCGCTTGCAAAGGCTCAAGCGTCCTGGATCTTTATTCAAAACACCAGCTCTTACCCGTTTTATTGCCTCTTGTTGATTCCTCTTCCCCCAAAATTGGGCTAACAGACACAAGGCGTGAATGCCCAAAGTAGAGTAGAAGATTCACAAACTCTGCAAGGTTTAGCAGCAGATTGAAGGAAGCCAATTGCAGAGGATTGTGGGGCAAACTTAACATTGCAAATCTAAGTTTGGCACAGATACATGCCAGGACAGATTGAAGCTGGCATATAGTTTGCTGGGACACAAGAAGAAGGAATTGGTTAATGCTATTGACAGACACACTCCAGCACCAGGTAGGTTCACAAAACACACAACTAACTGAACAGACCTTTTTTCTGGGTTTGCATAATATATGGAATATTCATATGAATGGTATTATTGGCTGCAGGTAGACTTGGGTTTTTCTCTGAATATCCATATAATCTCCATGGAGTAGATGTCTGAGATCTGTAGAGAATCACTGGCTTCTCTAGAGCTTTCTGCCAAAGGAAGGGTGAAGAGGAGTGGGTGCGTGTACACATACACACAGGCACACAGGCGTGCTGTGGATTGGTGGCAATACCACACATCAGGGGGAAAGGACAGTGCCAAGAGAATCTCCCCCAAAGCAGCTTGAATCCTTCCTGTGACGCCTTTCCTCCCACCTTCAGGAGAAGCCTGGCCTTTCCTGCCTGGGAGACCCTCGGCTGAGTCTGCCTTGCAGGCAGTTGTGGGGGGGAGCCTGGAAGGGAAGCCATGGAGCTGCCCATAAAGGGCAACAAAATGTGCCCCCCCCAGATGATGCCAGCCCAGGCCCGGTGCCAACGTGGCACCACAGAGCAATTCAGCTTCCCAATATAGAACATAATTAATAGAATAGAATAGAATAGAATAGAATAGAATAGAATAGAATAGAATTATTTATTGGCCAAGTGTGATTGGACACACAAGGAATTTGTCTTGGTGCAAATGCTCTCAGTGTACATAAAAGATACATTTGTCAAGAGTCAAGAATCATAAGGTACACCGCTTAATAATAGTCATAGGGGACAATAAGAATGGAATAGGATAGAATAGAGTAGAGTAGAGTAGAATTCTTTTATTGGCCAAGGGTGATTGGACACACAAGGAATTTGTCTTGGTGCAAATGCTCTCAGTGTAGATAAAAGAAAAGATTCATTCGTCAAGAGTCCAGAATCATCAGGTACATCGCTTAATGACAGTCATAGGGTACAATAAGATCCACTCGTTCCTCAACAAGCTTTGGTTTCTCAGGCTTACCAGTGGTGAGATTACCAGTGGTGTTCGGGAAACCGGTTAACTTTCTGAGCAGTTTGGTGAACTGGTTGTTGGAAGAAATCATGAGGGCAGAGAACCGGCTGTTAAATTATCAGACTCCCACCACTGCTTTTGAGCCCCCTTTTTCTCCAAGGCAGTTTCCACGAGGCTCGCCCTTTGCTTTCGGGACGACCGGTGCCTTGTGAGGAGGCTCACCTGGGAATTCCCCAGAGGGGGGAGCTGTGTGCAGGACTGCACCAGCTGTAGCTGTTGCTCGTGGACGCCAGTCAGAGTCACTGGGGATAAAGTGGGTTATACATGCAGAAGGAATGAGACGAAAGCACTGAGTGCTGCACCCTCCTGGCCCCCGGACAAGGGGGTGGGAAGGAGAGGGAGGCAGCCGAGAGCCCGGCAGGAGCCCCTGAGCCAGTGAGTTAAATGGACGCTCCAGGAAGCCTGAGCCTCAGACTGAGAAAGGCAGCAGGGGCTTCCGGTCCTTCTACGCAGCTGGGTCTGGGGCTGCTGGAACTAAAGCTCTGCTTTTCCCCAGCCAGTCACCAAGGGCCCGTCTTCAGTGCATGCAATTAATTTCTCTTAACAGCTCATTAAGCAATTGTGGTCACATTTAGGCTCAGGGCTGTTGGCTGGATTAGACCAAAACCCCATCAGGTTCGTGTATTGATCCAGGATTGACCGCATGCTTTTGGGAAAGGAGCAAGTGGAGCGCATGGAGCTGAGCCTCCTTCCTCCAGGGCATTCAGGATCCTTGGCTAGCCTGTGGCAAGTGCCCCCCCCCCCCCGTCAGTGGAGGGATGGTAGGGGTGGGCACTTTTGCCCCAGGAAGGTTTTGTCCAGCAAGAGAAGGGCGTGGGGGAGGGGGGCAAGCCTGGGAAGGCAGAGAGTAACCGTGGAAGAATGCAGATAATTTGTAAATGGACCTTGTAAAAACCCCTTTTGGGGTATGAAATAAGAGCCCATTTGTTCCCCTGTTTCTGTCTTAACCACGGTCTCCGGTCCCTCCCCCCACTCCATCCCCAAAAGATGTTTGTTTTTGGCAGCAGAGCCACAATAAAAGATCCCTAAAATCAGGAGGTGGTGCAAAATTCCAGGAATTGGTGCAAGTCTTGGCCCCCCTTGGTGGCCCCTGGTCCCTGGGAGCCCCTGCTGGACCCGAGAGGGTCTCCTTTCAGCAGACCGCCTGCCCTCTTACGTGGTCTTTGCCATGGCGGTGGGCATCCTGCCCAGGTAAGCCCCCTCTCCCAGGCTGTTTACACCCAGCTCCTTTGGGGCCAAGTCAGAGGACCCCCCTCCTCCTTCTTGGGCAACACACTCTGGGTGCCCTCCTGCCCCCCTGCCCCCACCCTGAGTGGGGCTGCCCACAGATTTAGTGGGTCCAAGGAAAGGAAGCCAGGAAGGTGGGAGGGCAGCTGCCCAGGCAGTCGCTTTAGCAGCAGGAGGGCCCAGGAGGTTCATGGGATCCCTTATAAAGAGCGTGCTCTGAGTGACACACGCACCACACACGCAGAGGCTCCTCTGCCTTCTTTCCTGCACACTGACTGCTGCAGCTGCCTCCGGATTCGCCCTCCCTTTGCAGCCGCCGGAGGAGGCGGCTGGCTCTTTTTGCAGCTGAACTGGGGGGCTCTTGGGCAGAAGGAAGGCCAGCAGCCGGCTGGCTGCATCGTCTCCTGCTCCCGGACGAGGGAATGCGCCATGGAGCCCACTGGACCCGGATGCCCGGAAAGCAGAGGGCAGCCAAAGCAAGCAAGTTTGGAGGATGCCAAGGCCTTTTATGAGAACCTCTCTCCCAAAAAGAAGCCCAAATCAGTAAGCGAGATCGTTTTTCCTGCTGGGGTGGATGTGGGGAGGCTTTCTTGTTTGCATGCCAGGGCACTTGGGATGCTGGTCTGGCGAGAGGCCAGGTGAAATGCCAGGGCAAGTGAAAGGATCTGTGGAGTCCCCCAGCCGATCCTCACCTGGCAGCGCGTCAGGGAGGTGAGCTTGGCTCTAAAGGGGGCAATTAATCAGGACCGCTGAGGGCGAGAGACGGGGGGGGGGCTGCTTTCCAGGCTCAGAGGTGCTTCCGGAATAGATGGCCCTGGTCTGCAGAGTTGGCTCAGTTTCCCCAGGGAAACCCTGCTCTGGCCTGCAAGGGGGCTCCTGCCCACCCGCCCCCTCCCTCCATGCAAATAATAAAGAGTTGTCTGTATTGTGCAAGTGGTGTTTTTAAGGTGTGGGAAAACACTGTTTTATGTGGTAAATCTGTCTTAGAAATGGCAACATATTGTCCTTGGTGTCCTCGCCCCCCCCCCCACGCACACACTCACATACACACATACACACTTACACACAGGCCACACACACTGTTTTGCCAAGTGTCATGGTAGTAATTAGTTGTCCAGGCAATTGGTTCCTTTGGATCCAGAAACAATGATCACTCCAGTAACTAAAGGGAGTTGAAGCTTTATTATTAGCTCAAAAACAGATAGAAATGCATAACATCAAAGCTGACGTAGCAAGCAAGATAATATCCAAATCTCTTCCAAGCTGCCAGGGATTCCTTAATAGTGACAGCAGAGAGACCCCGCAGGCATCCAGTTTCTGAGCAGTACCTGATGTCAGGCTTCATGCAGAAGCTCTCCACAAACAACACAACCCCAAGATTTTGATCAAAAAAAATATTGGAAGAAATGTCCACCTGGGGTCAGTTCCAGGTGGGAAGAAAGACACTGGAAACATGGAGACTGCTTAGAAGGATGGTTTAATGGCGGACAGCAGGATTTGAGGTCCTGGGCAAAAAAAAGCATATGGGTGAGAGAGATTTATACCCTCTGTCGGGCTTTGAATTTGCTTCCTGTTCCTGTGGCAAGAAATGTATCCTAGTTGGTTGTCAGACTCCCATATGGGGCCATGCAGGGGTAACTTTGTAGGTTGTCTTGAGTCCCAGGCTTAGTTGAATCTTGCTGGGTGATGTTAATCTTCCCAGGTGCCGTGTGGTGAGATGGGTAGAGGGCTAATCCTATCGTGTCCCGAGGGCCGTGTTTTAATCCCACCACCCTGGAGCTGAAAGGGGCAGGGAGCTGCTTTGTCTTTATAAAAACATGCTTCTCCTTTTTCCATCCAGGGAAATATAATATTTTGCCCTTTTAATATTTCCTAGAATATTTCGTTCTCCTAGGAGAGGGGTGGGTGCTAACTTTCTACCATGGCACTGTGACTTCATGGCCCTGCTGTGCTCAGGAGGCTGCAAGACGGACCTTGGCTGGGTGTTGCACCTGGATGGGAAGGAAATCTGAGGTTTATACGGCAGGAGAAGCTTTGAAGTTAGGGGAAGATTCCCCACCTTTTCCTTGGTTCAGCCAGCAAGAGTGGAAAGCAAACTAGCTGGCTCAGAAGGAGCTCTGACCTCTAGACCGCTCTTGATATGGTGGGAGAAATCAAAAGATGCCCCTGGCTCCCCGATAACAGTGGTCCTCCCGATCCCCATCACACGCGCATGGGGAGGGGGGGGGAAGAGTGTGATTGGATGAAGGCCACTAAGCCCTGCCCCTCTGCCAGTGACAGGGATTTCTTCATTGGCCAAGCACAAAAATACCCAGGATCTGTCCCATTTTATTTGAGGGAAGGAAGGAGCTCAGACGTTGCCCACCAAGCGAGCCTTGCCAGTTAGCAATTGGCTAGAAATGGCAACCAGCGAATGGCTGGTGGTTCTCTGCAAGTCTCGGGGACTCATGGTTGTGTAAAACAAACTGGTGCTCCCAGCTCCCTGATAGGCAAACAGGCCTGAATAGAGAAGAGAGTGGTTCCAACCCAGCTGGGCTAAACTAGGCCTGGAAAGGCAGAAGAAAAGTTGTCTGAGCTAGAAATGCTTCTGCCCTTTTCCTTGGCAAGCAGATGCCAGGGCTGAGCTCCTCTGATGGACCCAACCAGGAGCAAAAGGGCAGAAGAGAAGGAAGCCGTTTGACAGCAGAAGGCCAGCATTGGATGGCCAGAAGCCAGGCAGAGCCCAGAAAGCTTGACTGCTGGCAGGGGCTTCTGCAGGGGCCCAGCCACATGGGGCAAGCAGCGAGGCCTACGTCCCCACTTCCTCCCAGCACGAGAACAAGTACAGCAGTGAGGAGGAGGAGGAGGAGGAGGAGGAGGAGGAGGCAGTTGGTGAGGGTGGCTCTCTCCCTCTGGCCGGTGGCATAAGGTTCTGGAGGTCACCCGAGCCTTACAAAACAATCCAACTGATATGGAAGCTGGACAAACTGAAATGAAGTGAATTATGAAAATGAGTCATTGAGAGAAGCTGGTCTGGCTGACCCCCCGGCCTTTAAGGGCGAGGAACCCCCCGTCCCTCAAGGGATGCCCCCTTTGGCCCAGTCGCCCAGGGAAGCTGCCCTCTCTTATGGGGGATGCAACCGCCGCTCTTCTCTTGCAGCCAAAGCCACAGCACGCCATCACCATTGCTGTGTCCTCCCGAGCCCTGTTCCGTATGGAAGAAGAGCAGAAGATTTACACCGAGCAGGGCGTGGAGGCCTACGTGAAGTATCAGCTGGAGCACGAGGAGGAGCCCTTCCTGCCCGGAGGAGCCTTCCCTTTTGTCAAGGTCTCTTTTGCTCATGTTCACACAGGTCAACTCTGCAAAGGTTGGTCCCCAGGGGGAGGTGGGGAGCCACTTGTGGCCATGTCCCCAGGGGCCAGGTCTGGGGCTTTCCCCCCTCTTGCTGTTCCGCCCACCCCCAAGCTCCCTGTGGCCCTTGGAGAGCAGGACTCCCTCCTTTGCTGGAGAAGATTCTTCACTGGGTCACCACCAGTGAGCCCTTCTTACCCGATGATCCCTTAAGTGAATGTGTTGCCTCTTGGACTCACTGTTCTCTCTCCCTGGATTCCCAGGCTCTGGAATCAGTCAACTGCCGGCTGCGGGAACTCTTCCCAGACAGCGAGGAACTCTTTGACATTGTCCTCGTGACCAACAACCACGCACAAGTGGGCGTTCGCTTGATCAACAGCATCAACCATTACAGTAAGTAACCAGAAGGCCAACATCTGCCAAGTGGCTAATCCCCTGACTGCCATCCCCCCAATGGGGCAGTGGGCTCAGTGCTTGGGAGCCCCGAATCTCTCTCCCCAGGGCATCCAATGAGCCAGGAGGAAGCTCTGCCCCTCCCCTCCCCGAGGGAGCTTCATACTCTAGCAATGGGCTCCACAGTCTGCATAACAACTCTGCTGGCTCAATAGGAAACGGCCTCTTGGATCCCCCAGAAGAAGCTCTTTTCAGGAGCAACTGCTTAGGAGCCTGGCTTTTGTCATACAGCCAGTTTTTAATACACAGTGGCACCATGGGACTCATTGTTAATTAGTTCCGGGAGGCACGAGGAATACCAATAATGAGGAGTACCAAACAAATTTTGTCCCATAAGGAATACTGCAGTGAGCCACAAGGCAGCTAACACCCACGGGTTCTAGCTTGTGCATTGAGTACCAAACAAAGGATGAGTTTCAAAGCAGCTTTGAAGGTATCTTCTTTTTGAACTGCATTGTCAAATTTCTGCCCAGCTCACCTCTCCTCGTCTCCTTCCGCTGTTACATTACGCATGGCCGGTTCTGGCAACTCTTCAGGTACCTCCAGGATCCTCATCCCTTCCCACCATGGTGTCCTCCAGTTGTACTAGCCAGGGACTCTGATCCATAAAGAAGCCTTGGGTTGCCTGGTTCCTGTTTACCGACAAAGCGTCTTCTTTTCCTCCCAGATCTCTTCATTGAGAGGTTTTGTATGACAGGCGGGAATAGCCCCATTTGCTACTTGAAGGCCTATCACACCGACCTCTATTTATCCTCGGACTGTGAGAAAGTGAGTGAGGCCATAGAAGAGGGTGAGTGATGCTGTTGGGGGGGAAGCATAGTGGGAGTTTGTGGGGCCTTTTGGACTGAAAGGGGGAGGGAGAAATGACACATTTGACTCTGTAGGCACCTGTGGGGGTGCATGTTTTCTAAAATCCAAAGCAAGGCCAACTTTACTAAGTGTTGTTCCAGGAATCATGACTGTTGTAATCTTATTCATACAGTCCTGTGAGCCATTTAGTTGCGTTTGTTTAGGTTTGTGAAGAGTCATTTTGGTGTGGCACTTAAGGCACCAGGCCAGAAACGAAGAGACTGGGCGTTCTAGTCCTGCTTTAGGCACAAAACCAGCTGGGTGATCTTGGGCCAGTCACTCTCTCCCAGTCCCAGGAAGGAGGCAAACCAGTTTCTGAATTGTCATGAAAATGGCAGGGACTTGTCCAGGCAGTCTCCAAGAATCAGATTAAAAATAAAAAAAAGATTTACTGGTCGTCGTGCCCGCCCCACCCGCTGCCACGGCCCCACATGCCAGACATGGTGTGCTTGTTAGCTTTCCAAGTCCCGGCAGAACGAGCAGTGAAGCGTCTGTCAGAATCTCCTGCCGTGTAAGCGAGGCCTTCGTGGGGCAAAGTAACCTTGGACTGAAGTCTGGTGGCTTTATCAGGTTGCTTAGAAGAATCCCTCCAAGTTGGGATTTCTGCCATTTGGGAGACTGTGAGGATCTTGTTGGCTGATTGGCATAAGACTGATCAAACACATTGACCAGTTGCTAAGTCCTGGAGGGTGGGAAGCTCACACATCTGGGGGACAGGACAGAAATATTTGGGGAATCCTCCTGGCAGATGTGAGAGGTGATGGGGAGGATGGCAGAGGGATAGCAGGAGAGGATACCGAAAGCGAGACAGCCGATCTCACAAACGGCAACTTAACCAGTAATAAGAAGCATTTCAAATCATTCAGAGATTTCACCATCATAAACAAGACTTGGAAGTTCCTTTTACTGTTTCCCAAACTCTGTAATTATCCCAGACAGGCCTTAAACAGACCTCACTGAAGGCTGTGAAGTTCTTGCTCCAACAGGAAAGCATCAGGCAACAGGAACTGAAGGCTCTTTTCTCCCCTCCCTCCCTCCCTCCGCAGGGATTGCAGCTGCCACTATTTTCACCCCCAAGAAAGATGTGCAAGTCTCGGAGAAGCAGCTTCGTGTCGCCTTTGACGGAGACGCGGTGCTGTTTTCAGACGAGTCGGAGCAGATTGTGAAGGCTCATGGCCTGGACAAGTTCTTCGAGCACGAGAAGGCCTATGAGAACAAGCCTCTTGCTCAGGTGCGGTTCGGGGACCGGCCTTTTCATGATTGTTTTTGCCGAGAGAGAGAGAGGATGGTCTTCAGAGCTGCCCTGCTAACAAACACTTGTTTAGACAGAACCAAGTGGGAAGAGATCTTCTGCATACAAACGGAGCCAGTCTTAAAGCAGGAAGCCAGAGAGCAACCCCACCTCAGTATAGCAGCTTCTACTAGAGCCAGAGGGGGCACCTGTGCGTGGCTGGGGCAGGGAGGGCAGGGAAGCCCCTGGCCCCCCTTGCCTGACTACCTGGGAGGGGGCCACGTGCTGGGGCTGACGTGGTGTGTGTTCCTCTCTCCAGGGGCCACTGAAGGGCTTCCTGGAAGCGCTGGGGAAGCTCCAGAAGAAGTTCTACACCAAAGGCCTCCGCCTGGAATGCCCCATCCGCACCTACCTGGTCACAGCTCGAAGTGCTGCCAGTTCCGGGGCCCGAGCCCTAAAGACTCTCCGGAGTTGGGGGCTGGAAACGGACGAGGCCCTCTTCCTGGCCGGCGCACCCAAAGGCCCCCTGCTGGAGAAGATCCGGCCACACATCTTCTTTGATGACCAGATGTTTCATGTGGAGGGAGCCAAGGAAATGGGCACGGTTGCCGCCCACGTTCCTTATGGGGTGGCCCAGAAGTACAAGCTCTCAGGACAAAGACAGGCAGCTCAGGACGGCAAGTAGTGCCCAGGGCTGGGCTGGGCTGGGCCAGCGCTCGGTGGAGAACGAAGTCTCGCTTGGTGAGTGCCAACTTCTAGGATGACCAGAACCAAAAGTATTGGGACGGTCCATGAAGGATCTGCTGCCGCCTGTACAGGTGGCACTTTATGCTCCTCCCCCACCGGCACCGTAGTGTGGCCCACCCCCTCCTGCAGGGCCCTCAGAGCATCTCCAGGGGCCCCTCCCTAAGCAAGAGTGCCTCCGGACCGAGAGAGCTTTCTCTTCCTCCAGCAGGGGATCCTCTGGCATCTGGGGACACTTTCCTGTGACCCGTGCGTCCCCGGTGAACTGGACATAGGTCACCCTCTCTCAGGTGCAGCACGCAGCCATTGTGGGCGGGGCTCCTGGAAGCCTTGTCAAAAGTCCCGCTTGCAACGTTTGCTGGTTTGCAAAAAGGCCCTTGGTCGCTGGTTACAGGGCAGAGACCAGCTTGACCAGCTGAGGGGAGCCTGCTGTGGAAGAGGGGAGCCAGCAGAGGCAAACACACACACACACACACACACCCCTCGTTTGAGGGAAATCCTCCCCCCCCCATCACTTCTGGCCACAGCAGCCTATTCATTGCTCTCCCCTCCGAAGGGCCACTGCCAGGAAAGGAATTCTGAGGGGCGTCTAAGTATATTCATAGCCACAGAAGCTGCCTTCTTGTGCCAAGCACATGTCATGTGGCATTTTCTGGGCACCCATTCAGGATGCAATCTTTCCTGTGAGCCAGGCAGGAGCAAAAGTGGAGCAAGTGCCCTTTGGCTTTGAGCTTGAATGCCAAAATGGGGAAAAGTCCTCCTCCCTGCAAGAGTCACAGAGTGTTCCTTCCCCAAGCAAGAAGGGCTGCCTTTACAGCCCTGGTCACCCTTTGGTGGAAGAGCATGCAAAGCGTTTCACCCTTTTCCTTCCCTTCCCTTTGGGAAGGGAGGCTGCAGGCTGTAGCCAGAAGCAGACGCCACAGCCCAAATCCCAACTCCACGTGGAAACTCTGAACAAACGATTCGCTCTAAACAGACTAAGCATCAAGCGTGGAAGCCGTTGCCTCCCTCCAAGAGTCTCTGAGAGCTTTTCATCCAGAGCACCAGACCAGAATAGAATCAAAGGCTCCTGGGGTTGGAAGGGACCTTGGAGGTCTTCTAGCTCAACCCCCTGCCCGAGGCAGGAGTCCTCAGTGAAGGTTCTTCTTTCACTTTCAACATTATTCTTGGGGGGAGAAACGGTTTCCCCATGGAACTCACTGCCTCAGGAGTGCCTTCTCTCCTTTTGCAGAAAGTATTTTGCTGCCAATTTTTGCTGCTTCTGCATTTTCATGATTGTGAGTGAAACACCTTCACACCTGCCTGATGGAAGTTTGTCTGTAGTAAACCTCCTATTACCACACCTTCCCTCGTGTCTTATTCACTGTCCTGGGTCATCTATCTGCCAATGGATCTTTAAAACATAAGGACTAGGAGCAGGCAGAACAAAGGGGGAAATATTGCCTCTCCAACAGACAAAACCTGAGCTGTCCCTCCCAGCTACAACTATTATGAACAAATGCCAAACTCAGGCTGTGGATTCGTTCCGTTCAAGACAGCCCAAGTGCTCCTCGTGGTGATTCTCCACTTCTCGTGGCATCTTGGGAATGGGGTGTCCTTCTGCAAGCTTGCACCAAGAGCTCGCCACCAATATTTCCTCAAAAGGGGTTGGTGTAAGTCGTCTGGCTACATCCACACGGCATGCAGCCCCTGGTTGTTCTCATGCCTTTGGGGGTGCTGCAAACCCAGGCCAGTTAGCTGAAATGTGACTCAGTGTCTCACAGGGACCCACCTGCGGCAAGTCAAACATCTGGTGTAAAGCCCCAGCTATAAATGCGTACTGTATTGTGTAAGGAGGGGGATTTTGCTGCAGCTAAAGGGTGCAATTGGGAGTGGAATTTCCATTGCTAAGCAACACAGCCATAAAGCAACCTGCAGTCCAGATTGCTGTCATTAACTGGATCCCATGGTCACTAGACTAGGCAATTTCCTACCAGCTTTCCACAACCAAAATCAGTGGGGAAGCTGGCAGACACAGGCAAATGGCTGCCCCCAGGTGGGGAAGGGAGCAAGCGGGTGCAGAGGAGAGGCGCAGACAGCAGGGGTTGTGGAGGGTGCACGGAGAACATGCGAGAGGTGTGGCAAGGGGAGGGGGCCTCGGGGGGAGGGCAAGAGGTGGGAGCAGGTCAGGGAAGATGCCCCACAGGCACAGAGAGTGGGGCAGGGTGCGCGGGGGGGGGGGGGCAAGTGCCTGGTGCGGTGTGAGTGCAGAGGGCTGGAGGAGGGTTGGTGGATGGGGGAGACTGGCTCCCTTCCCTGCTGGCTTCCCCATGGTTGTAAATGTATACTAGTTGCCAAGCACCCTGATCACAAGAATTCAGGACTGCTGGGATGGCCAGAAGTCGGGTCATAACCCCCCATTCCTGCACCGCCCTTGTAACTCTGAATGGCTACAGGATGAAGGGTTGCAGGTCAAAGGCGACCCGTAGCTGGAGCAGGGGGGTCACCGGGGGATCAAAAGGATACAAAGGTGTCACTGAAGCCCCTTCCCTCATATTGCTCTCTGCAGGCAACCTCTGGCTTTAATTCCGCCTCCTCTTCTCCAGCCTGGGTCCTCCATCTGGCTGCGTCTGAGGGACCCCCCCCATGCTTGGGCTCCTCATCAGCGCCCCAATCATTTCCTCCAAACACCCCCCAGCTGCTTATTCTCTGCCCCATTCGGTTTAGCAGTCCTGTGGGGCAGCCCCTCTGGGCCCTGCTTTGCTAGCGTCCTGGCCCTGGCTCGCCTGCAGCCGGTTTCCGGGGTGAGCTCTGCTAGGGAGGCAGCCTGACCAGCGGGGCTGGGCGTCCCCATCCTTGGGGCAGAGCTGGGTGCCTTGGGTCACACGCACGCATGCACACACACACACAGCCCTTTCATGGGTGGCCAAAGCTCCCACCTGCTGACTTTTGAAAATGTTTTCAGCGGAGTGCAGCCTTTGGGCTGGGATTCAGGGCCTCCCCCATGCCCCAAAGGAGAAGAGGCAATGGGCTTAAGAGAAGAAGAGGAGAGGGTGGCACCTTGGGGCTACGGAGGTCCCTGTGCCAAAGCGCTAAGAATAGGCTTGGCTCCAACCACCGCTTGCCTGCTTGTCATGTCTTCCAGGAGGAGGCCTCTATTTTTAGAGGGCCCAGTTGAGGGGGAGGGGGTGCAAAAGCAGGGGGGGAGATAACAGGCCGGGAGCCGTTTTTTGCAAAGCAGCAAAATCCAGAGAGCCAGAGAAAAGAAATTCAAATTCTTCCTTCCAGAAGTTCTGGGGCTCTGGAGATAGATAACAGAAAAACTACAGGTAGTCCTTGATTTACAACGGCTCATTTAGTGACCATTCAAAGTTAAATTGGCAGTGAAAAAAGTGACTTATGACTATTTTTCACACTTACAACCATTGCAGCATCCCCAGGGTCCCATGATGGAAATGGAGAGGCTGGGAAACTGGCTCACATTTACGACTGTTGCCTTGTTCCAGGGTCCTGCAATCCACTTTTGAGACCTTCGGACAAACCAAGTCAATGGAGAAGCCAGATTCACTTAACGACCGTGTTACTAACTGAACAACTGATAGTAACTGAACAATTCTTTGGGGAACAGAAACTATAGTCTGCAGACTGAACAGCAAAAATCAAAGATGTAACTGAGAACCGTACTAAAATAATCAACCCCACGGATTACTACCTCTTTTTTCTCCGACACATGGGGGGACCAACGATACAACAATGATTCTGAAAAGAATAACAAGAGATTACGATTAGCTAGGGAAGAAAGTTAAAGGATTGGGAGTACAACCACTTCCAACAAAAGGTCAATATCCAATGAGGGAGCAAAGGATGTTAGAAACGGACCACTGGCCTAAAAACTGATGCCGTCCAGAGACCTTCGTCTTCCTAGTCCATGGTCTGCCTGACCTACCTGAAGGGCTCCTGGCAAGGGGTGGACTGCACCTCACAAGAACTGGAAAGAATACATTGGGAAAACGACTGGCTCATCTCAACAGAAGGGTTTGAAACTTAAATTGAGGTGGGAGAGGGGGGGCAATCTTCAAGATCTTTAGAACCTCATTCCACTAGATAACCAATCATATAAGGAGGCAGGGAGTAAAGAGAAAGAAGAAAAAGAAAAAACGGAAAAACACAATGGAGGGTGATGGAAAGAATGGAAAACTCAGTTACAAAATAGGAGATAAAAGAAACATACCCAAGACCCGTAAAGGACTCAAATGCCTATGCACAAAAACGCTCAGAAACAGGGTGAACTTGACGTATTAGTACAGGAAGGCAGATATGACACAGCTGCCATTACTGAAAGATGGTGGGACGAAGCTCATGACTGGAATGTACCGATGGAAGGATACAAACTGTTCAAAAGAAACAGGCCTAACAGAAGAGGAGGTGGAGTTGCATTACACATAAAAGATCACCATAACTCTACAGAAAACCAGAAAACCAAGGATGAAAACCTCCTAGAATCCATATGGGATCCTTTTATATTGATAAAAGGGGGGGAAATGACATTGCTATAGGCCACCCACCAAGCAGAAGATATAGATGAATATTTTGCTACACAACTAACAAATGTATGTAATACATTTGTAAAAACTATAGTAATGGGGGACTTTAACTATCCTGATATCAACTGGGGGACAAATCTTGCAGGAAGTGGGAGATCAAACAGATTCCTAAACCAATTTAGCGGACAACTTTGTCCTCCAAAAGGTAGAGGAGGGAACTAGAGGAAAAACTATACTGGACCTAATTCTTACTAATAGAGAGGAAGTGACAGAGGGAGTTGAAGTTGCCGGAACCTTGGCAAGGTTGACGACGTCATATTGCAATTCAATATAATGCAAACACAAGCGATAGAACATAATCCAGCCAGTGTCTTAAACTTTAAAAGATCTGACTTTAACAAACTCAGAGAGAACCAAAGAAAAATTCCATGAATGAAAATCCCAAAAAGGAAAACAACTCAAGAACAGTGGAAAACTCTTAAAAGTATGATAATAAAAGCCCAGTCCAATATGTATTAATAAATCAAAGAAGTTGCACTAACAAACTGAAAGACAAAAAGGACGAGTACAAAAAAAGAAAAACTAAGGCAGAATATCAGCAGATAACCCAAATCTGCAAAGATGAAGTCAGGAAAGCAAAGGCTCAGAATGAACAACTTGCAACAAAAGTAAAATATAATTTTAAAAGTTTCTTTCAACATATAAATAACAAGAAAACAATCAAGGAAGCAGTAGATTAAAAGAAAAGATGGTAAGGAAGTAACAGGCAGCAGAGAGAAAGCAGAATTGCTTAACTCATTCTTTGCAACAGTTACAAAAGCCCAAAACAGTTGCAATGCAAAAAAAAAAAAAAAGCAAAATATATATATATAGCCCAACCTACCAAAAACCTCAATGTAAAAGACAGACTAGAAATAAAAATAAGCAAGAAAATGGTTAGAGAACATCTGTCTGATCTTGATGAATATAAATCACTGATTACATCCCAGAGTTCTGAAGGAGCTGGCAGATGTTATCTCAGAACTATTGTACCATATCTTTCAAAAATCCTGAAACATTGGGAAAGTACTTGAGGATTGGAAAAGAGGTGATGGGGTTCCCATCTTCAAAAAAAAAAAAAAAGTGGGGGGGAACAGACCCAGGAAACTACAGACCAATCAGCCTAACATCAATATCTGGGAAGATACTGGAAAAAATAATCCAAAACAGATCTGTGAACAGCGATAAACAAATAAAGTTATTAATAGCCAGCACAGGTCTGTTAAAATAAGATCCTTCCAAACTGATCCTTTTTCATTCTTTGACAAAGTGACTAAATTAGTAGATGAGTGAAATGCTGTGGACATAGTATATTTATACTTTAGCAAGGCATTTGACAAAGTAGACCACAATCTACTTCTTGGTAAGCTAGAAAAATGTGGGATAGACAGCATTACCACCTGATGGATTTGTAACTGGCTGACAAACTGTACTCAATGAGTAGACCTTTATGAGAGCCCAGTATTCTTCAATATCTTCATAAATGACTTAGATGAGGTATAGAAGGGAAACTGGTCAAATTTGCAAATGACACTAAGTTTGGCAGGAATAGCCAATATCCCAGAAGAAAAACTCAGGATCAAAAAAGATCTTGACAGGGTTGAGCAATGGGCCCTATGCAACAGAATGTAATTTAATGTGGAAAAAAGCAAGGTTTTACACTGGGCAGAAAAACCAAAGGTACAAGTACAGATTAGGTGAAACCTGGCTCAAAAATAGTAGTGGTGAGAGACACCTTGGAGTCCTAGTGGATGATCACTTAAATATGAGCCA